AGCAGGAAAGGACATTCCCTATTTTCATAGGTAGACAGGTATGTCAGGCTGTTAGCATCTTGGAACATCCTTAAAAGCTGTTTGGTGCTTGAGTCCTTTAAACTGATTTTTCAGTAATACCTGTTATTTTTTCCCCTCCTCACATGATAACTGACACGAGGATATGACATTTTATTTATCAAAACAAGCAGGGAGATATGAGGAAACTCTGTATGTCCAAGTTCTTTGCCTTTCTGATGTTTTCTTTTTCCTGTGTTGCATCATTTTTTTCTAAATTAGCCTAGTTTTTTTTAACAGTTCCAGGAGAAGCAGTGTAGAAGCAGCTTGGTTTGTGGTCTGGCACCCATCTCAATGTGAAATGGGAACTATTTAAAGTACTTGTCAGACAAATATAACTTTATCTTGAGTATAGTTGGAGAAAGGAAACGACTCTTACACTGAGAAATCTTACTATGATGGCAAACTTCAGCATCACTATATTTACGAGTTAGCAGCAGCTGAAGTACTAGAGTATAAATGAAAAAAGATTAAATGGTATCTCTTACAAAAATGCATTTCATTTCTCTATTTTATTTGAAAATGAATGTCACTTAAAATGCAGTAGAAAACTGCAGATCTTGCTTTTTCTGTTAATTGAACGTGTTAAGCGTAAACAGTGTAACTCTTGTCACGTGATAAATTTTGTGGGGAAAAAAAAAATAAGTTGTCTTCTGGATTTCTGTAAACTGTGCTGGAGTTTGTGGAAAAAGCTATACCCATTAGTAGACTTTTGACCACAGCTGAATGTGGGTATGTGGATATCAGATGTGACTGTTTAGATCCTTCATAATTTTAGGCTGAAGGTAGTGCTGACCTTGTTGGGAGGCATCAACTTTACCTCTGTTTAATAAAAAGAATTTGACGCTTCCTCACAGCGGAAGGCTGTTTCACTTGTAACGTACTCCAGTCTAGCTAGGGGCCACTGCATTACTGTCCCCCTAAGTCATAGAAAAGTGAATTTTGCAAACTGCAGGGACAACTTTCCAGAAGCTATTATTTGCTTCATAGTACAAAGCCAAAAAGTGAATCATAAATACTGGTGGCTATCACTCTACCAATACTCTTATGTGCCTGTTCAGTGGATATTCCTATAGACATGCCATTATACTCAGAGTTATTAAATAATTATTGTGTATGCATTTGAATTTAGTAATCTCAGTGTAATTTTGCTTCACTGAGACTTAAAAATGACCTTACAAAATTAGTTTTTATGAGATTTATAATTGGAATAATAGTAGAAGTGTGAAAGAGCAAATTGTTCTGTTCTGCCTGTACATCATTAGGAAATCTGTCTGTAGAATTTTAATTTCACAATATTTATTGGTAATGGCAGTGTAAGCATAGTGTGGAGCAGACGGAGCTCAGCTTGACTGTTCAGATCCCAGATGGAACTTGAACTGCTGGCAATTTACAAATTCTATATTTGACTTAGAAATTCCTGCAAACGTTGATGCAGAGAAATAATCATGGAACAAGAAGTAATCAGAAAACTGGAAAAGTAAAACTCAACTGCATATATTGCCTTCCAGTTCAGCTGAAGTTTTCTTGACACTGCCAATGCCTGACTAATGGTTTGGTATGTCCAGCAGTGCACAGTAAGGCTTCTAGACCTGAGGACAGAATGCTATTCCTGCAAGTTAGTAGTTTACAGACTTCTTCAATACATATTGAGTCTTCAAAAGAAAAAAAAAAAAAGGCATGAAATCTCTTATGTCAAGACCTACAGAAGTCTATAGTAAAATGTTAACGGACATATAAAAAGAAGGAATTGAGCAAGCAGATTTCTCTAACACTGCTGCACTGGTGCTGTGTTTTAGCTATTAACGTCTTGTGTGTCTGTGTACCTTTCAGTTTAAAAGCCTATGGGGATGTAAGCTTTTGAAACACTATACTAGGATGTAAAGGTTAAGTCATATCAGTTTATGTAAAAATACCTGCTACCACACACAGTGGGGAAAAAAATGTGGAAAGGATCTGTTGAGGATTTTTGAAAGAACAAATGAAAACGTACCTCATTTTGCTATAGTTCATTTAGTGTATAGGACAAGAAGCAGTGATGGTATCTATTTGGAAAAATGTATAGTGTTGAATATAGCTTTGTAATATGCTGCTAAGAAGGCTGAAGCCTTGTCTACAGCCTTCAGTAAATGCATGTTTTAAGGGTTTGGGATGGTGTCCAGGGCAGATTTTCACTTTTTTTTTTCAATTGACACACAAATTGAGCTGACAGAACTAGTTAATAATAGATATAAATGTATCCCAAACCAAACTTGCATTAGGTTATCTTCTTCAAATACCCAGTCTCACTTTGTCTGTAGATGCCCTTTTGTTGGGAGAAGTACATGAGGAGATGGGAGGAAAAGATCCGCATTCAGTTTTGTTGAATGAAAATACTGCTCCAGTGTTACTGCTGTGGCTCTGCATGTATGTAGGTCTCCTCATTGGAGGAGCCATGTGTAGTGCTGTGTGTTTTGTCAGGGGACAACACTAGGAGGAAAGGTAGGTTGCATGATGCACAAAGGGGGATTGGTCCTGAAAAAATCTTACACATAAAGAGAAGAAAAGGAGGAATTTCTGTGGACGGAAAGAATGTATGAGCATTGTAAGTACCCTTATGGGAAAACAAAGCAAAAAGGGAGGACTTGATAATAAGGCAGGAGACTATGGATGAAAGGTAAATATAAAGATGAGGGAGAAGAGTTCGTACACACCTGGAAGGCTGTACTGGGAGCAAGTAGTGCTTTATAGAAGCCTTCAAGTGTAATGCAAAATGATCAATGGAATCTCATTGTAGGTCAGGTAGCCTTAAGCACTGACGTGTTTGCTATCCACCCTGGCACAACATACAGAAAGGATCCAGAAATGTGCTGCTTGTCATGTGTCATCGCTTACTGATCTACTCCCGTTGGGAACCTGTTCCCATGGCAACATTGCTATCCTATTATAGCCTAGGTGCAGAAGTATAGCAAGTTACATTTACATTTGTGTGTGTGTACGTACTTCCATCATCTGAATAAACACGCACACATGTTATGTGGGTATTTGGATTGCATACTGTAAGTAGCTTTTGGAGTGCAGGACACTTGGTTGGAATCTTTTCTCACCCCCAAATAAGTGTGTTCTATAGTTTAATGCAGAAATGCACTGAAGTAATACCACGGACCTTAATGTTGGAAGATCTAAAACTATAGGTTAATTTTATATATTTTGAAATATTTTTGAAACATATTTTTGAAAAGAAGTGGTATTCTGTAGAAGTAGATTACGTACTGAAAACCTGAAATTCTTCCTGTTTTAAAAATTTACATATAACTTGTATAGGTATAAGCTACATCTGAGAGTAAATGTTGCGACACATTGTTCCGCACATTGGATTGCTTTAATGGAGGACTAAGCTGTTCTGTGATCATGCCTTGTAAACGTTATAATTATGTTTACTTCTAAATAATCTAATCATGGTTCTCTCTATGGTAGGTATAGAGACCTTTGTCATTGTACCTAGTCGAGAGAGTTAAATTGGGTATTTTAAAAGGTAATTACAGCGACTAGATTTTGGAAGCAGAATTCTGATGAGAGGGTCTGGTGTTACTGCAAATACAAGTGTGTTTAACAATTCCTGGTCCAAATACTAGGGTGCAAAATCAGCAAATAAGAAGTAATAAAATAATATACACAGTATGTTGGGGGGGGGGGGGGGAATTATACCAGCTTTCAGCTCTCTTTCCTTCGTATATTTATGGGAAATGTTGTATGCTGCAGCCACCTCATACTTGAATTCACTTGAATACAGTGCAGCTGTAGTTTTACATCTTTTTCCAGCTCATTCAAAAAGCTGAGTGTTTTCCTGCAAGTGTAGCAGCTGCCCAGAAACAGCTTGTTTCTGCTAATTCTCAGTTTTACCATGCAAAACAGACAGTTGTTTTTCAGCGGCTGCAGAGGGGGGAAAAAAAAAAAATAAAAATAAAAAGTTATTTTCTCCCAGGTGAATCAGGGGAGTAATCAACTAATCTTTAATGTGGCTTTTCAATTTCTTGCCTTGTATGTGATCTTAAATAACAGTTTTGGATGTTTTAAATGCTCTATACTCCTTACAGTACTTTGAAATGTACATGGTATTACATTTGTAGAAAGATAGGGTAAAATTACAAAATCACAGTATATATGAGTTTATTAGGGCTTTCTGCATCTAATCAGTGCTGACTGTTATGATTGATAGCAGTCATGCTAATACATATTTAGCAGATTAAATGGCTTCGTGACTAGTACTGCTGTTACTCTTTTCCCTCCTGCTGTCATCAGTATCATTTAAGAAACTGCACTCTCACAAAGAAAACTAGCAAGAATAGGAATCAATTGTTCTTTGCTTCAAGCTTCAGATGATGTGGTAACATTCTTTCGGTATGTACCAGGCAAGGGTGATAAATTGTTTTCATATATCTACTGCAGAGAAGATAGAGTTCTGTGTACTTTTGTAGCAGATAGCTATGGGTTGGGTATAAGGCTGCTTCTTTCTTTGTAACTAAACATTAGGCTCTTGAAAGAACTGGAATCCCTATTGATAGAGACCTTAAAAAAAAAAATCATATAAGTAACTGCTGAAGATGCTTTAGGTGTATGTGATCTAGCTTCGTTGCTGGGGGATGCAGTAGATGCATATTTCCTGTCATTTTCTTAGCTCTGATTTTTTGTTGTTCTGACATATTTTCCAAAATGCAGCTTTAGACTGGTTCTAACCACCACTTTTTAATGCCAGCCACACTAGCTGTAGTACTTAATAATGCTGGTGCAATACTATTCTCTATCTGGGTGCTTTTCTTGAAGTAGTGAGTTAATAATTTTTTCATGAATTTCTATTTTTGAGGAAAAAAATTTACGTGAGTCAAGAGCATTATGTGGTGATGGTTGTGTTGTTGTGTTTTTTGTTGTTTTTTTTTTTAACTGTACATATGTTCATTTTTTAGACATTGACCAAGAAAAAGAAAACATGAGGTGGAGTGTATCAGAGTTATGAATAAAGGAAGAAGTGGTGATTGATGTGTTGCAAAGCATTTTCAAGATAACTTGACGTTTCAAGGTAACTTCACATTTCTAAAAAGCACGTTGACTATGGTATGAGATTCGTCTCATAAAAACTTGTTTCCAAGATGAAAGAATACAGTGAACATACTTTTATATTCATAAATCCAACAGATTTTAATTTATTCATGGTTACAAACCTAATTGCAATTGGGCTACAAATTGAAATGTATGAGGAATTACTGTTCTAAATAACAGCTTAGATTTTTTTTAAAAGTCAACTGTGATTAAAGAGCATGGTTAGTTTGAATTCTACACCTGTCTAATGCCTCACTTTAAAAAAAAAATGATGTGGCTGGCAGGTTTTATTGAAAAGAATCCAGAAAACATTGGATGTGGAAAATTACAGTCATCTCACTAGAACCTTTTTGCTTTCATATTGCCCCGAGCAACCAATACTCACCAGACTCTGCAAACTACCTGATATGAATAAACATTGTAAAATATTTTAAGTCATTCGGAATCTAAGCATATCATGAGTCTTTATATCAATAAGTAACAATAAAATGAGTTGTGCCACTTTATATAAAGTGAAAAGAGCCTACTATAACTTACTAAGTTACCTCGTTTGCTGTTCTCTGTGGGATATGTGTCTGTGTAAGTGTCTCATAAGAAATGTGTATTGCTAGTGACTTAACCTGATGCATAGATAAGTCTTTCAGCAAAAATGCTACAGGGAGTTTTTTTGAGCCCACCAAAGAGGTTTGAACATAGTAACAAGTATTTAACTGTATTTGCAAGAAGGATAATTTTTTAAGGATGCTTTATTTCAAACAAACAACAGTAACTATTCATGTTTGAAGATCGGTAATAAATCAGCATAATTTTTTGAATCTTAATGTCATTGTAAACTAGATGCTGTATGGGATAAATTTAAAGAACTCTAACTGCAGGAAGCTTTTATTCCATAAATTGTTAGAAATGACCTGGTCCTTTGAGTAATCTGCTCTACTAACAGAGATTATTCTACAAAATAAACAAGTATGTATAAGTTGATTCTAGCAACTTTTGAAGATACTGTTGTGTTTCTGAGCCATAGTTCTCTCTCTGTCCTGCAGTAAAGGAATGAGCTAACTTTGGTAGGAAAAAGAAAGTAAAATCTAAAATTATGAATAATGCAGTATTGAGTATAACTTAACTTACACTTTCTAGAGCCATTAATATTTCAATCTGTGTACGTTTTTGAATGTAGCAACATGTGACTAACTAAAAATATGCAAAGGTTCCAAACCACAGCATCCTGCAGTGGAAAACCAGGCTTAGGTGCATGTGATGAATTCCTGGAACCGGATAGTGTGCCACAGTAACTGAGATTTTTGTATTGCCATTTTTTTCTTTTAATCAAATAATAAGGAAAATGTAAATGATTGCAAATATAGTAATAATAATGTATTAATAACTTAAAGCTGCAAAGCAGTATTTCTCATGCCAATTTGTATGTAAACATGCTCAAATCACTTAGCTCTGCATCCCTCCCTCACTTAATCCATCTGTATATTAACATAATACTACTTCAGTGTCTTAAGACTGTGACTGTAGGTCAAAATTAAACAAACTTTTGTTCTTGCTGAAATAAAGGGGGGTGGACAAGGGGGTCTCTGTTGACCCCAGTGGAAACAGAATAATATCCAGTGTTTCTGTACTGTTGTATAAACACTAATTAGGTGTCAGTATCTGATTATTTCACTTAAAAATTCCCATATGAAAAACTCGTATCCACGATCATCCTCTTCTGTGTCTAGTTGCATTAAATGCCTCAGAACATTGCTTTAGTAAAGAGCAAGATGCACAGATCCAGGTCAGAGAGCTTACCTTGAGCTAGATACTTTTTAGAAAGTTAATGTTATTGCTCAATACAAGAAAATAGATGAAAATCCTGTTGAATTGTGGAGATTTGTATTAATGGGTTAGCACATTGTTTCTGCATGGGAGGTGTCTGCATGAAATCAGCTCTGATCTAACAAGCACATGTTGCTATAGTAATGGAGTCTATTGAATGTTAACGCACTGCTTCAGCTATGTGACAAGTATAAAGTCTAAAATCTGTGATATGCAGTTTGATTTGTCAAAGCATGTATCTGCTATACTTTCCCTTAAATATTTGATGGTGAAGAACCATTTTTTTTTACTTCTATATTTTCAGGAGTTGCAAGCTCTCTTTAGCAAGCTTCAAACTTGCCTACAATGTGTTTAAGAATAAAAAAAGAAAATCACTGTATCTTACAGGATGCTGTAGTGATGTTCCTACTAGATACAGGAAGCTCTAATACTCTCATGAATTGTTTTAATAGACTCCTTTGCATAACTGATGCTAAGAGGCAGCAAAGTTGGCTTTGCAGTAATGATTTCTGGTGTTCAAAAAAAAAATGTAACCTGTTTGTGTTTACTGTTGATGTGGTTTTAATTTTCAGGAGAATGAAAGCTGGTTCGAGTTAGCTTATTCACCTTTCACTTTTTGCGTGTCTTGATAAATGATTCACTGCTGAATCAGAAAATACGAGTATTCATAGTGAAAAAGATAGAATTACCTTTGTGTAAACAAAACACATACTTCAGGTTTTTCCACTTCACTTGTCTGATATTGCTGCACATGTCTAGAAAGGCAGGAAGTTTTGGGCACTAGTCTTCATCAATATAATTTCCCTGAAACCTGATAACTGTACAATAAACATGCAAAAATAAAACATCTGCTCCTATAACTGCTATGCATGCCCCAGTGAGAGGATGTGCCTCAAAAGGCCCAAGAACATCTAGGCAGGTTTTCAGTTCTTATCAGTTATATTTGTACATCAGTATTTATTTAAGTTTAACCTCACTGTGTGTCATAAATCTTTGACAGCTGGGTTAAAAATCAGTTTTTCATTTGTGTTCTCAGGAATTGCTTTGTAAACCAACAAGTGCAAAGGCCACAGTGACATTAGTTACCACGAGCTTACTGTCAGAGCTCATCTAGGACAACTAAAGATGTAAACAGGTGGGCTTTTTGGCCCAAAAAGGACATTAATTAAGAAGGACCATGCTTAGATGTATAGAATTTAGTGGTAATTTCTACAGGCTTTATACTGACATAACATGAAGTGTATGATATGGAGTAATTCCATTATCTAACAAAAAAAAATTTTTTGTTTGTTTGCTTTTTTTTACCTGGGTTTACACCTGATATACCCACTGGTTTCAGAAGGCATTCCATTCCCCCACCTGCACCCCAGATATGACTGTACTGCAAGAGTACTTTACAAACTGATGATTTTCTAGTTTTCCTTTAGAGCATTTGTTTAAATATTTCTTCTGCAAAAATAATGTATTCCTAAATCTCAAAGGGCTTTACCACAATAATGTCTAATACTGTTTTGATGTCTCTCAGTGATAGAAGTTCCATGTCATGCTGAAAAATTAATTGAATAATTTTATAAGATATACATTAAAATATTTACATTTCCTGCTTTCAGTGTTTAGACCACTGCTGAACTGGAAGTGGCTTTGTAAATGAAAGAAAATTTCCCTCCTTGCTCTTTAAATTTTTCATAAATATTTTTTGTTTGCAGTGTTTTTAAATGAATATTCCAAAAAATATTTGCATAATAAACAATTAATTACATGATATGTAATATACTGTATCTTCCACGTGCAAAACCTTTTTATAGGAATCTATTTTAAGTAACTAAATTAATTTCTTCACTTAAGTGGTATTTGTGTGATAATATTACTACTTAAGAATACAAGCTTTCTTAAGACAAGCCTTGTCTGTGTCTGATTGAAGTCTTTTGTGTGATGTTTTGAATTTGGATGTGAGTACCAGGTGGTATTGTTTAGGTCAATCTCAGATGCTTTATTAGTCATTTTTGTCTTTTGGGGTTTCATGGTGGGAAGCAATTTTTAATTTTTCCAGTACATAAATTATTTTTATCTAAAGACGAAGGGAAGAATCTGATCATAAGTCAGCCTTAGGAGTCCTATGTTAACTTCTAGAGTAAATAAGAATATTAAGAATTTTATAACTCTGCATTCTGTTCTGCAGCAAAAACAGTGAGCATGTTTGCTTCATGAGCATGTTTTGCTGTAATAGAAAAAATATATAATTGGCAGCTTTCCTATTTTCCAACTGCAGAAGATAATAGTAGCACTTAAATATGGAAAATAATTTGTAAAACAAACTAGCAAAATACATTCATGTCTGCATACTCAGCCTGAGTCAATGCTTTAGCTATTCCAGATCATCTGGTAACTGGCAGTTAGATGAAGAAAAAAATGTCAGTCTCAGAAGGCATATTTTAGTTTCCATGGAGCTGCTCAGGTCTTCATGGATGTGTTGTAGGTTAGAACTGTACTATAGTTAGCAAAAACAGCACTGAAATAAATGGGAAGGGGAAAGGCTGTATGAAAACATTTTAGAGAAGAAAAATTAAACAATAAAGAATACTTTGCATTTAGCTCTTCACAGGTAAATACAGATAGATAAAAGTCAAGTTATCCTCATGTCAGCCTTGTCAGGTAGGTAAATGTTTCTCTATTCTTAACCTCTTTGGGTTTTATCCATGAAGAGTCAAGACATTGCTTGTTATTAGTAACATGGAAATAAAACACTGGGAATCAGGTGTAGGGTTAGAAAGTTTCTGTCAGTTCATGGGCTCATACACTGGTTTCAGCAGCTCTGAATGAAGGAACAGGGATGGGAAGACCCCTGTCTTGTTTCTTCCTTGTGTGTCAGCAACTTGGTCAGCTGTTTTCCAAGTAGAGACAACCCCTTTCCCCCAGAATCCCAACTAATCAAAAATATTCTTGAGCTGAGAAGCAACACAAATGAAAGACAGCTCAATTTAAAATAAATAAATAAATAATAATAATATTTTTTCCTCTGGCAGGGATGAACTTTTTTTCTGGTGGAATATGAAAAGCTGTGATAGTCTCATTAGCTTTGTAGACTGTAAGAAGCTGATTCTCAGTGGTCTTTGATAAAAGGCAGTTGCATCTGACTGGACGTTCAAATCAATTGACTGC